GGAAACAAAAATACCTTATAGCCATTATCCTGCTTTGGATTGTGAGACGCGGTTATCATGATCCCAGCGCAAAGGCTCAGGTGGGACACGGCGTACGGCTGGAACGAAGGGTGGGACAGGAACAACATCAGGAGGCCTTCCGTCACCGCTGTCCTACCTACCTTGTTACATCGACTGTTCCTTTCTCGGCTGCAGCTGACGATCTTACTGGGGTTTGGGCGAGAGCTTATATAGAGTGCATTCCTTTCCCATTCCAATCATTAGTTACACGCTTTTTACAACACCCTCAAGGTACAGCCTCTTCTCCCTTCCTCCCCGGCCTCCCATTTCCATCACACACACACACACACACACACACACACACACACACACACACACACACACACACCTCTGGAGGGCTATTGCTTGGCTGAAAGGTGAAGCCTGTTGGTGGGGTTCGCTCTACACCAGTGGTTCTCATCCTTCCTCATGCCCTGACCCTTTTGTACAGTTCCTCATGTGGTGGTGACCCCCCAACCATAACATTATTTTCGTTGCTACTTCATCACTGTCATTTTGCTACTGTTAGGAATCAGGCGACCCCTGTGAAAGGGTAGTTCGACCCCCAGAGGGGTCTCGACCCACAGGTTCAGAACCGCTGCGAGTGATAAAGCATTGCCTTTGTGGATTATACTCATTAATATATTAATTGGTGTCATTGGGGTATACCAACTAACCCAGATGTCCCCCCAAGAACCTCAGACATGCTCTCAGCCCTCAGATGTAGTGCCCCAGTCCCTCAAGGTATCTGGTTTGGGCTGACAAGCTGGTATAACTTTGTCTCCAGTATACTCCGTCGTCTACTTTGGTGGCTCTGGGAAACACAAAGCCTGTCTACACTTCCGCAGCCCTTTCTTCTAAGCCTCCTGCTGGTAACACACATTTACAGATTCATTGTAGTTCCTCCACCTGCCCACCCTTCCCCAAGAAAACCGTTAAAAAACAAGCTTTCCCTCACTGACTATCTCCCTCCCTACTTTCAGTCTTCTTGGAGCCCCTGGGTGGTGCCAACAGTTATCAGGCTGGGCCACTGACCTAGAGGTTGGAGTTCTGACTCCCCCTAGAGGCGCCTGGGAAGAAGGACTTGGCTGATCTACTTCAGAAACCTCGGCCAGGGAAAACCCATCGCGGTGCTCCGCCACCGGAGGGCACCATCAGTCAGGGCTGACTCAGCCTCAACGGGTGTATGTCTACCTCCATCCCGTCTTTACAAAATAGACAGAAACTGGGTATCCCCCAGCCCACCAAGGGTGCATATTAGATTTTCTACATGCAGCAAAACTGAGATCTTAAACATCTGTTCCCCTGCATCCCACCACGAAGAATCCCTGCAATCATTTGTCCCCTTGGGGGAATGTCCCGTCTCTCAGGTCTGTTGAGCTGAAAGCACAGGGGGGATTGCTCCGTGGTGTGATTACATGATCCCCAGAAACCACAGGGGAGGTGCCACCCTATCCTAGGAAGGTCGCTCTATGTTGGCATCAACTTGGACGGTGAGATTCATGTCTGATAAGACAAAATAACTGCCGATCTACCTACAGAACACAAGTAGGGAGCTCGAAGAAGCTACACCAAGTAATGAAACTTGGGTCCCAGGTGGCTCTGGCCGAGTGGTCTACCTCCTGATCACCCATCTGGAAGGGGCTGCAGCGTCACTGCGCTGTAGACAGCCAATGCCAAACTGCCCACGCGGACCTGCCCTGTCTCCTTTCTGTCCCCAGTCACATAACTGCCTCTGCATCATAGTTTGGGGTTATTTCCTAAAATTACGGCTTCTCATCCTCTAGCCCTGTTCTGGAAAGTTCCGTCTACTTAAAACAGCATCCGTCACAGTCCCTCCCGTTGTTTTGTGGAGACGCTGCGACTTGGAGAATCTGATTTCAACACATTGCGATAAGACAATGTCAAGCACGCTTCCTGTGCTGGATGTGACTAAGACTCGGATGCTAGATGGGTACAAAAAGTGGTTGCACCCGTGTGTCAAAAGTATCGCTACCACAGTGCTGTGTTGATTTTGGATTTGGATGCAAGCGGTCTCCTAAGGTGCTAAGGGGGGGGGGGCACAATAAACCAAATCTTAAAACAAGCAACTAATACATCCAGGGTCTTTGAGTTATTTCGACTCGCCGTGACCCCATAGGACAGAGGTGAACTGCCCCATGGGGTTTGCAAGGCTGCGATCTTTATGGAAGCGGCCGTTCACACCGTTCTCCCCAGGCGCAGCTGGGGGAGCCCGATTGCCAGTCTTGCAGTTAGCAGCTAGGCGCTCCAACACTGTGCCACCTGGGTTCCTGCCCGCTGCTGTTGCTCCGCCTCACAGAGACCCAATGGACAACAGAGCGGAACACTGCCTGGTCCGACACCACCCTCACAATTACTGCGATGTTGAGCTCACTCGCAGCCACCCTGTTTCATTAGCTTGCTCAAACACCTCTAGAATGCAAGCCTAAGGGGGATGGCGGGGGCAGGGGGGATTGCACTACAAGTTTTCCCCCCTGATAAACCAACAGCTAGTGAAATCTTCCTATGGCATGCAAGAAAAACGCGAAGAGACTCTTCTGTCCTTCAAACACCCGGATCTCAACAGCCCGATAAAACTCAAGAGCCTCACCATTCAGACTCACAGGGACCCTACAGGACAGGGCTGCCGCTGTGGGTTTCTGAGACTCTAACTCGCTACACAGTGACATTCAACCACCACCCTCCGGCTGATAGGAAAACAGAAAAGGAAATGGTTACTCACCACGAAGGGTGTTGGAGTGATGCTGGAAAAGAGGTACACAGGTATCCCCTGACTGACAAACGTGGTTGCAGCAAGCTGGGCAAACCTAGAAGAGCAGGGTGATGGGGGAGATCAGGACCACAGGTATCTCATCCCACCTCTTTATTTTAGAAGAGACAAAGGCCCAGAGAGCCAGGTGACTGTGGGTCCTGTGTCCCACAGCGGAACCAAGCATCTACCGGAAGTCTCTGACACTCCACCTCGCTCAGAGCTTCTTGGCCAGACCAGTTTTGCCCCCAATCAACATCTGCAATGTCTACAGAACCCCAAACCAAACCCGCTGTCATTCGGCGGACTCCAGCTCACAGTAAGTAACCCACCCTATCTAGGGTTTCCAAGACAGAACCGAATAAGCAGATACCCACAGCTCCTCTTTTGGATTACTAAAAAGTCACCTTCTTCACATTTTTGAGCCTGTCACACTGAAGCCCAGCAACAACCTTAGACTGCATCCCCACGTTCAATCTGAGGCTGAGGTCACCAGTCCTTTGCCCTGGCTGAACGCCCTTCCTCACAGCCACACAGGTGTGCCATTGGTGCGTCTGACGTTACAAGCAAATATGCAAAGACCGCTGTCATGCGCCACAGGTTCACTGTCAACTCACAGCGGCCCTCAAACACGGAGAACGGCCCCAACAGGGTCTCCTGGGCTGTCATCTTCCTAGGAAGAAGGGCCTGGTGATCTGCTTCCAGAGCATCAGCATGGAGAGAACATCTACGGACTGCAACGCCACCTGGACACAGGTGAGCGTGGGCTGTCACGAGGAAGAACCGGCCTGGTGACCAAAAAAAAAAAAAATTGGCTTTGCGGTGTAACAGCAAAGCTGAATAGCAGCCGAGACCATGCGAGGCCCACAGAGCTAAGATACTAGCTGGCAGCTCTGGTGGTGGAGTGGGCTACACATCCGGCTACTAACCGCAAAGTCCGCAGTTCGAAACCACCAGTAGCTCCTTGGGAGAAAGACAAGGCTTTCTACTCCCATAAAGAAGTACAATCTTGGAAACCCACTAGGGCAGTTCTACTCTGTCAAATCAGGTCAATATGAGTAAAAATCGGTTAGACAGAAGAGGGCTTGATTCGGGTTTGGGGGCCTTTAGAAAAGAAAGGTACTGACCCCTGGAGCTAAATTACACTCCTCCTTATTTCATGATCCTGGGGCATGGTGTACTTTACAGGCTGTTGTGAGGATTAAATAAATGGACAGGCTCAGGGCTGGGACCACACTCGGATGACGACTGCTACCACGATGAGGGCGTGAGGTTTCGTCACCACCACCACCCTCAGACCACAGGACAGAGGCCTGCTGGCTTGGGACTATTACAAGAACATGGTTTGGGACAGGCAGCCCAGCCTGGGGAGGGGACTCAGCCAGCTTCTGAGGGCAGAATACTGACAATCATAATACGTACAAAGAAGAAAGTGAGCAGGAAAAGTAATGCTGCCTCTGGAAACCTTTCTTTCATGGAGATAGTCATTGAATTCTAAATAAAAATGATGAGGACCTTAATCCAAAGGTCAAACCAGAATTTTTTAAAAAACTGGCCAACCAGTACTACACTTGTTTTCTAATGCAGCTGTGCAGCTAATGCACAGTTTTTCAAGATTTAAAATCAAGTTCTTGAAAATCACTCACACACACACACACACACACACACACACACACGCGCGCGCGCGCGCACAACCCCCACTTCCTCCAACAGTGTGAATACCTCTTACTGCTGCCTCCACTTGGCGGGTGGGCCCGAGCATCGTAGCTGATCACGACGCCCCTCTGCTTCAGGTGTCTGACGTGCTGCTCCAGGTATCTGCAAAATCCCTAAGAACACCCATCCATTACAGAAGCCGAGACACAGTGTCTGTCAGTGGGGCCCGCCCCGGGAGAGGCAATGATATTAAAAGCACGAGGTCCAGCCAATTGTTTGTGAGAACAGTCAGGTGCTACTTGGCAACATACACCAAAGCATGGCTGCTACTTTCCTGAATGATGAGATGAAAGATGTTTCAGTGCATGTAGTAGTAGGTGCTGTTGTTTTTTTCACGTTTTTAAGCACAGAAAGGTATTCGATATATGTCAACAAACACATTTGACAACCATTGGATCTGAACAGTTCTCACCCCTTCTGACCTCTGTAAAAAACCGGTCTTAAAGGCAGGTTTAGGAAGAGGCACTCACTCGCTCATCACTGATATGTCTACATATGATACAGTGCTCCCGAGACGGGTTAGGGATGAGGCTGGCGTCTTCCACCCCCCACATTCAAATTCAGGTGATTCTGAGAACTTTCCCCCCTCTAACACATACAGGCTCAATCCCATCCTGTATCCACTGACCCTTTAAACTGGGGGCATACTATAAAAGTCTGTCATTTTCCATGTCTTTCTTCTCTGGAAAAATGATGTTTTCCTCCCCTGGAAGAATAACGTTTTGGTTCCACTCCCTGATCTGTAGCATTCACGTTGGGCCAGCTCAGACTGAATGGAGGAGGAGACCAGACACCTGAGACTTTGTGTTAACCAAGAGCACATTGGCTGGGAACTGAGCCCAGAAAGCTCTCCCACGGAAGACAAGAACCCCACGACGGGACCACCACAGTCGTCGTTGTAAGGACTAAACCAGGTAAAACATGCCAAGGGCCAAGCACTAAGAACCCCCAGTGAGCACTATGAATGAGGTCCGTGTTAGGGACACGACTCTCACTGTTGCCTTCCTTCCGAGCCCACATTCCTTCCATCAGATGAGTTCTAAAACCTCTGTCTCAGGACAGGAAAGGCATTTATTTGGGGTGTTTCTGCCAGGTTGGCAATGTTATGAGGTCCCAGAAATGCGATGCCTTTTGTACGATTTTGACCATGAACTGATCTAAACTTCTTGTGTTTGTTTTAATGTTGTTTTCCAGCATGGCCCTGAAGAGGTCAGTCAGTCTAATAACTTGGCACAGCCAATGAGAAAAGAAACACCATGCTGAACTTGGGGTGATGGCCACTGCCTAGAAATGGTAGAACACACAGCCAAGCACACAGTTAATTGAGCTTCATGGGTGCAGAAACGTCGCGGGAACCTGAAGAGGAACATGCAGAGATCTCTGAATGCTGTGAGGTTAGGTTATTGGTGAGTGTCACACAAGAGACTCTAGGTGGCTCAGCACAAATGGTGTTCCAGGCTACACAGAAGGAAGTCTTTAAGCACCACTCAAGACACAAACCATGGGTGGACCCACACCCGTTCACAATCCACCTGTGCCAACTCCCAGGCACCCAACAGGGCACAGCAGAAGGGTTCCATCCGGTGTCCCAGGCTGTGAGACTTACAGAGTCGGACTGAGACATCTTTCTCCTGTGGGGCAGCTGATGGATTTAAATTGCCAGCCTTCTGGTTAACAGTCACATACTTAAGCACTGTGCCACTGGGGCCCAGACAAATACAAACTTGGCTTAAAGCAAGGGAAGCAAACTGTGTGGACACCCCCCACCCCAGAAGAATGCACTTCAGAGGACAGCACTGAAGCTACAGCTCAGGGAGAGAGGCACATCTGATCAGAGCAGACAGGAACAAACGAAGATGTCAGGAGAGAGTGGAACATATCCTGGCCCACCAAGCCCCGAGGATGATATTCCTGCTCAGAGCAGCCAATGCACAGAGAGGACTATAGTGCTGGCCCCACCATCAGAAAAGATATCCCTCATGGACCCATAGTGCTACAAGGGACAACACTGGAGGCACACTGCGGGCATTGTGCCCCATCTGACCCAACCACACCGGAGCGAAATGCTAAGTGTCCAACAGAGCAGCAAGGGGAGCAAAGCAATGAAGTACCTAGGGAATACCAAACATAGACTGTGGGACCAGGGCATGGTACCCCATCAGACTTGACCAGAAAACACTCCTAAAGGTCAACAAACAGACCTAGAACTATTTATAGGCCTTTCTCTTTTTTTGTCTATGTTTTTTGTTGTTGTTGTTTTGTTTTACACGGTCTTGTTTTTGTGCTTATGGTCTCTGCATGTCTATCTAGATAAGATAGGCAGGATAAACAAGCCGGAGGAGAAAACAATGGGACTGATGGTTTTGGGGGGACACGGGAGACGGGGAGATGGGGGAAAGGAAGTGGGTGTTAATAAACCCAGGGACAAGGGAACAACAAGTGATCTAAAATCGATGGTCAAGGAGGGCGTAGGATGCCTGGTTGGGCTTGATCAAGGGCAATGTAACTGAGAGGAATTACTGAAACCCGAATGGAGGCCGAACATGATAGTGGGACAAGAGGACAGGAAAAGGAAATAGAGGAAAAAACTAGGAGGCAAAGGACATTTATAGAGGTCTAAATAAAGGGATGTACATATGTAAATATATAAAATGATAGAGAAATAGATCTATATACATATATTTATGTTAAGTATTAAGGTAGCAGACAAACATTGGACCTCTACTCAAGTAATCCCTCAATGCAAGAACACTTTGTTCTAATAACCTGGCATTCCATGATGCTCACCTTCCTGATACAACCACTGAAGACAAAGCAGGTGAATAAGCAAATGTGGTGAAGAAAGCTGATGGTGGCTGGCTATCAAAAGATTTAGCGTCTGGGGTCTTAAAGGCTTGAAGATAAACAAGCAGCCATCTAGCTCAGAAGCCCACATGGAAGCAGCACACCAGCCTGTGTGATCATGAGGTGTCGATAGGATCAGTTGTCAGGCATCAAAGACCCAGAACAAAAAATCATATCCATGTGAATGAGAAGGCGTGTGGAGTGGAGACCCAAAGCCCATTTGTAGACAATTGGACATCCCCTTACAGAGGGGTCACAAGGAAGAGACAAGCCAGTCAGTGTGCATTATAGCACCGATGAAATATACAACTTCCCTCTAGTTCTTGAATGCTTCCTCCCCCCCACTATCATGAGCCCAATTCTACCTTACAAATCTCGCTAGACCAGAGCATATACACGGGTACAGATTAGAGCTGGAAACACAAGGAATCCAGAACAGATAAACCCCTCAGGACCAATAATGAGAGTAGCAATACCAGGAGGGTAAGGGTAAGGTGGGGTAGAAATGAGGAACCAATCACAATGATGTACATATAACCCCCTCCCTGAAGGACGGACAACAGAAAAGTGGGTGAGGGGAGACATCGGTCAGTGTAAGACATGAAAAAACAATCGTAACTTATAAATTATCAAGGATTCATAAGGAGGGAGGGGAGAGGAGGAAGGAAAAAAACGAGGAGCTGATACCAAGGGCTCAAGGAGAAAGAAACTGTTTTGAAAATGATGATGGCAACAAATGTACAAATGTGCTTGACACAATGGATGTACGTATGGATTGTGGTAAGAGATGTAATAGCCCCCATTAAAATGATTTTAAAAAACCCAATATAAAATGCATCTTTCAATGGAAATGGATGACAGTATCCATAACATCATAGTAAGTAATATGAGAGGTGTTTAACATTTAAAAGTTTGTACATTAATTTAATTTTTCCCCTAACAACCTTCTA